ATCCATCTGTATTTCCATCTATCTATCTATATTATCTATCCATCCATCTATGTATCTAGCTGCCAAACTATGTATCTAGCTACCAAACTATCTACCTAACTATCCATCCATCTATCCATCTACCTATCCATCTATCAATACATTTATCAATCCATCTATCCATCCATCTGTTCACCCCTCTGTCTGTCTCTCTCTAACTCTTTCTGCCTTTCTGTTTCTGCCTGTCGGTTTCTGCTTGTCTGTATCTGCCTGTCTCTCTGTCCCTGTCTTCATCTTCATCCGCATCATTGTCTCTCTCTCTCTCTCTTTCTGATAAAAAATTAAATTGTCTAAATTGTGGGAAGTCGCCCCTGCAAGTAGCTTATCACAGTGAAAAAGTTAAACATGGAATAGTTACTGCTTTACTAGGAGAAAGAAGCATGGCTTGAAAAACCTTTGAAGCTGTGGCAGGATCGTCTGTTGTATGCAAGTATGGGCAAATTTTGGATAACAGGAATCTTGTTTTAATTTTCCCCAAATCAATGAATAATGGTGCATATTGAACAAATCCACAAGAGCCGTGATGAGGGTTCGAACCTACGCACGGGATGTTTACAGCTGCACCTTAGTCAACTGTTCTAGTCTAAGATTTGTTCAATTGATATAGCATGCTATTGTGATTTCTGTGTGTATGGTGCATATTACTGTAAGAAATAACACAATTTGAAATGCTTGATTTCAAAATATTTATTTAGCTGTGTAGCCAGCGGGCAGGTGCCAAAACGTCGTCGTGAGAATCAGAAAGTAGCCCTGGCACCCTATTCTCTTTCGAATTCTGGCGACCTTGACCAGCCTATGTTCATCCCGTACAGCAGATAATTTGGGTGAGGCTATCCCCAAGCGCTTGGCGGCCAACTCCGGACAGACAAACAGACATTCTCTCTCTTATAGAGTAGATTTCATGTGTATGTCATATCTCTTATGAATAGTAGCGGGAAAATATAGACAAACTAAATGTTAAATGTATACAAGAACATTAATGGTTTGAAGGAGGGGTGATGGAGGAGTTGCTGGAGGGTGATGGAGGAGTTGCTGGAGGGTGATGGAGGAGTTGCAGGAGGGTGATGGAGGAGTTGCAGGAGGGTGATGGAGGAGTTGCTGGAGGGTGATGGAGGAGTTGCAGGAGGGTGATGGAGGAGTTGCTGGAGGGTGATGGAGGAGTTGCAGGAGGGTGATGGAGGAGTTGCAGGAGGGTGATGGAGGAGTTGCTGGAGGGTGATGGAGGAGTTGCAGGAGGGTGATGGAGGAGTTGCAGGAGGGTGATGGAGGAGTTGCAGGAGGGTGATGGAGGAGTTGCTGGAGGGTGATGGAGGAGTTGCTGGAGGGTGATGGAGGAGTTGCAGGAGGGTGATGGAGGAGTTGCAGGAGGGTGATGGAGGAGTTGCTGGAGGGTGATGGAGGAGTTGCAGGAGGGTGATGGAGGAGTTGCAGGAGGGTGATGGAGGAGTTGCAGGAGGGTGATGGAGGAGTTGCAGGAGGGTGATGGAGGAGTTGCAGGAGGGTGATGGAGGAGTTGCAGGAGGGTGATGGAGGAGTTGCAGGAGGGTGATGGAGGAGTTGCTGGAGGGTGATGGAGGAGTTGCAGGAAGGTGATGGAGGAGTTGCTGGAGGGTGATGGAGGAGTTGCTGGAGGGTGATGGAGGAGTTGCTGGAGGGTGATGGAGGAGTTGCTGGAGGGTGATGGAGGAGTTGCTGGAGGGTGATGGAGGAGTTGCAGGAGGGTGATGGAGGAGTTGCAGGAGGGTGATGGAGGAGTTGCAGGAGGGTGATGGAGGAGTTGCAGGAGGGTGATGGAGGAGTTGCTGGAGGGTGATGGAGGAGTTGCAGGAAGGTGATGGAGGAGTTGCTGGAGGGTGATGGAGGAGTTGCTGGAGGGTGATGGAGGAGTTGCTGGAGGGTGATGGAGGAGTTGCTGGAGGGTGATGGAGGAGTTGCTGGAGGGTGATGGAGGAGTTGCAGGAGGGTGATGGAGGAGTTGCTGGAGGGTGATGGAGGAGTTGCAGGAGGGTGATGGAGGAGTTGCTGGAGGGTGATGGAGGAGTTGCAGGAAGGTGATAGAGGAGTTGCTGGAGGGTGATGGAGGAGTTGCTGGAGGGTGATGGAGGAGTTGCTGGAGGGTGATGGAGGAGTTGCTGGAGGGTGATGGAGGAGTTGCTGGAGGGTGATGGAGGAGTTGCAGGAGGGTGATGGAGGAGTTGCAGGAGGGTGATGGAGGAGTTGCAGGAGGGTGATGGAGGAGTTGCTGGAGGGTGATGGAGGAGTTGCAGGAGGGTGATGGAGGAGTTGCTGGAGGGTGATGGAGGAGTTGCTGGAGGGTGATGGAGGAGTTGCTGGAGGGTGATGGAGGAGTTGCTGGAGGGTGATGGAGGAGTTGCTGGAGGGTGATGGAGGAGTTGCAGGAGGGTGATGGAGGAGTTGCAGGAGGGTGATGGAGGAGTTGCAGGAGGGTGATGGAGGAGTTGCAGGAGGGTGATGGAGGAGTTGCAGGAGGGTGATGGAGGAGTTGCAGGAGGGTGATGGAGGAGTTGCTGGAGGGTGATGGAGGAGTTGCTGGAGGGTGATGGAGGAGTTGCTGGAGGGTGATGGAGGAGTTGCAGGAGGGTGATGGAGGAGTTGCAGGAGGGTGATGGAGGAGTTGCAGGAGGGTGATGGAGGAGTTGCTGGAGGGTGATGGAGGAGTTGCAGGAGGGTGATGGAGGAGTTGCAGGAGGGTGATGGAGGAGTTGCTGGAGGGTGATGGAGGAGTTGCAGGAAGGTGATGGAGGAGTTGCTGGAGGGTGATGGAGGAGTTGCTGGAGGGTGATGGAGGAGTTGCTGGAGGGTGATGGAGGAGTTGCAGGAGGGTGATGGAGGAGTTGCAGGAGGGTGATGGAGGAGTTGCAGGAGGGTGATGGAGGAGTTGCTGGAGGGTGATGGAGGAGTTGCAGGAGGGTGATGGAGGAGTTGCAGGAGGGTGATGGAGGAGTTGCTGGAGGGTGATGGAGGAGTTGCAGGAGGGTGATGGAGGAGTTGCAGGAGGGTGATGGAGGAGTTGCTGGAGGGTGATGGAGGAGTTGCAGGAGGGTGATGGAGGAGTTGCAGGAGGGTGATGGAGGAGTTGCAGGAGGGTGATGGAGGAGTTGCTGGAGGGTGATGGAGGAGTTGCTGGAGGGTGATGGAGGAGTTACTGGAGGGTGATGGAGGAGTTGCAGGAGGGTGATGGAGGAGTTGCAGGAGGGTGATGGAGGAGTTGCTGGAGGGTGATGGAGGAGTTGCAGGAGGGTGATGGAGGAGTTGCAGGAGGGTGATGGAGGAGTTGCAGGAGGGTGATGGAGGAGTTGCAGGAGGGTGATGGAGGAGTTGCAGGAGGGTGATGGAGGAGTTGCTGGAGGGTGATGGAGGAGTTGCAGGAGGGTGATGGAGGAGTTGCAGGAGGGTGATGGAGGAGTTGCTGGAGGGTGATGGAGGAGTTGCAGGAGGGTGATGGAGGAGTTGCAGGAGGGTGATGGAGGAGTTGCAGGAGGGTGATGGAGGAGTTGCAGGAGGGTGATGGAGGAGTTGCAGGAGGGTGATGGAGGAGTTGCTGGAGGGTGATGGAGGAGTTGCTGGAGGGTGATGGAGGAGTTGCAGGAGGGTGATGGAGGAGTTGCAGGAGGGTGATGGAGGAGTTGCAGGAGGGTGATGGAGGAGTTGCAGGAGGGTGCAGGAGGGTGATGGAGGAGTTGCAGGAGGGTGATGGAGGAGTTGCAGGAGGGTGATGGAGGAGTTGCAGGAGGGTGATGGAGGAGTTGCAGGAGGGTGATGGAGGAGTTGCAGGAGGGTGATGGAGGAGTTGCTGGAGGGTGATGGAGGAGTTGCAGGAGGGTGATGGAGGAGTTGCAGGGTGATGGGGAGTTGCAGGAGGGTGATGAGGAGTTGCAGGAGGGTGATGGAGGAGTTGCAGGAGGGTGATGGAGGAGTTGCTGGAGGGTGATGGAGGAGTTGCTGGAGGGTGATGGAGGAGTTGCAGGAGGGTGATGGAGGAGTTGCAGGAGGGTGATGGAGGAGTTGCAGGAGGGTGATGGAGGAGTTGCAGGAGGGTGATGGAGGAGTTGCAGGAGGGTGATGGAGGAGTTGCAGGAGGGTGATGGAGGAGTTGCAGGAGGGTGATGGAGGAGTTGCAGGAGGGTGATGGAGGAGTTGCTGGAGGGTGATGGAGGAGTTGCTGGAGGGTGATGGAGGAGTTGCAGGAGGGTGATGGAGGAGTTGCAGGAGGGTGATGGAGGAGTTGCAGGAGGGTGATGGAGGAGTTGCTGGAGGGTGATGGAGGAGTTGCTGGAAGGTGATGGAGGAGTTGCAGGAGGGTGATGGAGGAGTTGCAGGAGGGTGATGGAGGAGTTGCTGGAGGGTGATGGAGGAGTTGCAGGAGGGTGATGGAGGAGTTGCAGGAGGGTGATGGAGGAGTTGCAGGAGGGTGATGGAGGAGTTGCAGGAGGGTGATGGAGGAGTTGCAGGAGGGTGATGGAGGAGTTGCTGGAGGGTGATGGAGGAGTTGCTGGAGGGTGATGGAGGAGTTGCAGGAGGGTGATGGAGGAGTTGCAGGAGGGTGATGGAGGAGTTGCTGGAGGGGTTAGTTTAAGCTATCTTACGCCAGGTTAGGTTATGCTAGTCTAAGTTAGGTTAGGTTAGGTTAGGTTAGGTTAGGCTAGGCTAGCTACAGCGGATTCACCCCTCTGTCTCCCAATGTGATTGAACCGTAGCTGGTTATATTTATTGGCGTCCTAACCCGTGATAGAACCGTATACACATAGTCTGGTCAGCGACGGTCTCATTTCTTGATGGGTTAACGTTCGATTTTCAATAGACCACGTAGATTCGCGGTTCATTTATTTCCTATTCAAATCCCATCCTGTTATCCTCATTCCACCTGCAAATGTTATCTAGTCAAATTCTGTTTCACTTTCTCCTGAAAATTCGTGACAAGCCCTCTGTATCTCCACCAGGCATCCTGTCGGCCACAGTACGTCAGTGTTGGGACGACCTGAGCGGCTTCCTCGTGGCCTTCCTCCTGTGTTATTTCGCCTTTGTCTCCATGTTTTACGTCCTCCTGAACCAACACCTCTTCGACTTCTACAACTTCCTCAGCTCAGTTGAGACCTGCTTCAGCATGATATTGGGTGTGTATAATCCTCAGCTTTGTTTGTAGTCGATATCACCAGACAATATTTTATAGGGGAACCCTTGTTACTCCCTAAAGCTATCATCTCCGATGTTGGTGCCATCAGTCGCAGAGCTCTCTGGCATAATGGGGACCCAGAGACAAAACCTGGTCCCCTTTCAAAGGTGCAGGGAGCTGTGGAATATATATATGAGGTTATTAATTTAAGCCACCACCAAGGAAGACATCCAAAAAGTCAAGAGTCAAATTAATCCACAGCTGGCTACCTTCAAGATCTGTAGACCCAAAAACTACTATAGAACTTCCCAAACTATGTAAACAAATGATTGAAAATGTCATAAAACTAGCATCCGCTTTTTCGATCTTTCCCCTCGTGTGCGGGTAGGAGGGGGCAAGCCATGGGTTCCGTGGTAAGTCTAGTGTCGAAGCCCTCCATCTTTCCCTTGGAGCATTTTGGCTGATGGGGTACAATAGATTTTACGTGTGCTGCACTTCAGCAAACCGAGATAGGTTTTCCCAGCCGTCTTAGCTAGGCTAGGTTAATATACATAACACATTTTGAGAGTATTGACATAGCTTCCTGGTGCCTGGATGCTCTGTTTGGATTATAACCTTCTAGCCCCTGGTTACGTTACTCTGTGGGGTCATTGACCATGTATGTGACCAATTAATATGTGGTTAGTGGCCCCGACCAGCCCACTAGCATTTTATGCGAGTTTGAGGGATGTACTTCGTTCTTCCTCTGCCATGCTACATGTAGGGCCGGTGACACCTTCAGCCCAGAGTCATGAGGGGAGTTATCCTGTTATATTACTGTTCTCACTAGCACTCCAGATGATGCTCAGGCTTCACAGACAGAACCACTTTTCGTGTGAGGTTTTCTCTGTTACTCCATTCTAGGTTGTGGCCGTTTAGATGCCCCGGAGCTGCCGTATTTTGTTTAGGGACTTGGAGTTGGAGGTGTGTCAATTCGACCTTAGTTCCATTCACACCTTTTCCTTCCCCAGTCAGGCATGGTTCGCTCTCCTTCTAGCCCCCTCTTCCCTGTTTCCGGCCCTGAAACGTCTTCTGATTTTGGGTTTAGAGCAGGGTTTAGCGGCAGAAGTGGCTTGGGCTGCTCTGGGGTTGCCTCTTCTGAAGCGAGCGTGGTGTAGTTGATTCTCTCGGTCCAACCGAAGCTTCTGGGCCTTCTTACCGGCCAGCCCCTTCTCTCGAAGCTTCTTCCCTTCTTTGACAGACTCTGCCTGTCTTTCCCAAACAGTGAGCATTGATGATGGCTCTCAGCCGGTCCACATGTCTACTAGCTGTGGATCTGGCTTTTCCCAGCATCAGGTTCAGGTTCCTGGTGAATTGGCAAAAGTCCCAGTCGGCCCCTGTTCGCACTTTGTTGGGACTCGGTCGACTTCGCTCTCCCTGCCTCCGGTGACCTTGTTCTGGCTGCAGCCTCGTTGTTTGCTGATACAGTATATTGAGTAGGTCCTGGGTAACTCGGTGGTTGCTCGAACAGTTGTACATGAACCTTAGGTTTGCCTGCTTTGTGTATCCCCTGGGCAGGGTTTGGCTTCAGTGGGTGTTCTGGTTCCTCCAGGGCACTTCATTGCTGCCACAACCGTTTTATGCGAACTCTGTTGGCTTTGCTCTGGCTGCTGTGTAGTTGGCTTCTTTTTTGGGCTTACTGGGGTAAAGTCCCCTAGCGCCTTTCTTCACCTACACCAAAGCTGGCCAGGACTTGATTTCGGGTGCTGCTTGCTCGGTGTCCGAACCTGGTCGTTTTTTGCTGCACTGCCTCAAAGGTTCAGGCCAGTGGCGTGCTTTGCTGGTTCGTTCGTTTTTGCTCTATGTGTCTAGTTTTTTGGCACGTTTGTTTCATCTTGGTGGTGTCCCACCTGTGGTCTTCTTCAGGGCGTCAGTGTTGGGGTTTGGCATTGGTTAGCCACTCTCTCCTTTGCTGTCCTTCATTTGGTGCGCAGATATTTTCTTTTTTCTATCCTGGCTTTTCTTTATTGACATCTCATGTCTCGTGCGGAGCCACCACAACTTGTGTTCAGGGTCGATACTTCCTCAGATACGTTTTGCATGCTGTTTTGGGTGTTGTTCACCTACAGCATATGTTGCTCTGCCTGGGCAGGCTCGGTCTCTGGTCTGTTTCTTTCTTCCTTCCTTCTGTTTGGTTTTGGTGTTTCCTTTGGGTCGGCTTGTTCCCAGTTGCCAGTTCCTGAGTCATTACTCTCTTCCGGATCCAGATTCTGGCCTTTTGCCCGGCTCGGCATTTTTTATGTTTGCTGCTGGCTCCTTTTCTGGTGGAGATTGGGTTAGTTGGCATCCGGAGATCCTTGCGAGGTTTGGTTTATTGCTCGTCCAGGGGCGCTTTACCTGTTGTTGGATGGGGCTTGCTGCTGGTTCTGCCTCAGTGGCCACCTTGTGGGTTCATCCAGTCTCTTGGGCTTCTGTTCCAAGGTTTTCCCTTTTCGCGTCGTATGCTATTTTTTTTTTTTTGCATTGCCAACCTGCAGTCTTTCCTCCCATCCATGGGGTTTAGATGTTTGCTGTTTTCTTAGCTGTCCTCGCGTCTCTCTTCTAAACTGTTGTTTGGGCGTGGGGGTTTCCAGTTGTCTTAAGTTTGAGTGGCCCTATTTCATGTTGGGGTGCCAGGGCCTTGGTGGCCTTGTGTGATCTTCTCTCATCTTTGTAACCGGGCATCTCTTCGTCATTGTTGTGCAGGCAGTTCTCCCCCCTCCCTGATGCCTGTCGAATTGACTCTTCTCCATGGGTCCCACAACAGACTCCATCGTAGAAAACCTGCCTTGAATGTAATGAAAAAACAATTCTAGCTGACCCCATTGGCTACCTGACACTCCTCACGTCCCCTTGGATTCGGGTGTCTTGCATCATTCGTCGAACTCAGTGGAGTGGTCTGTGAGCTACGGTCTGCCCCCTCTCCTCCCGCCAGACCGAGGGGGAGGGAGGGAGGGGTGAATGAGCGGGCACTAGTATAATGACATTTCCAATTAATCTTTTACATAGTTTGGGGGTTCTATGACCGTTTTTGAGTCTGTAGGTCTCGGAGGCAGCCATCTGTTGTCTGTTTTCACTTGATGCCTTTATGTGTGCCTTCCTTGGTAGAGGCATAAAGTATTAACTTTATATATAAATACCACGGGTCCCAATGTCTGTGAGAGAACGTGGTAGGCCAGAGAACTTTGCGGTTAATGGCGCCTAGTAGTTGGCCCTTTCATCGGAGATGGTAGCACTAGGGAGCGATCAGGTCCGAAATTGGCGTTTCATTACTTTCAACACTCATTTTTTAATTTGGTTTCCAGATGAAATGCGAATATTTTATCCAGTAACAAATGTGTTAGCACTGACTGCCTCCAATTAGACACATCAACACATAGAAGTATGGAAAGGTTCAAAACCAATGTATTAGCTGATGATAATATAGATTATATATAAACGAATAGATAAATATAATTATAAGTTTAGAAACCATGAATACCTGCATTGAGAAATGAAAATATAGCAATTTGAAAGCTGGATGTGGTTATTGTCGTCAACAGGTGTGTTCAACTTTGATGAGATGACACAAACATCGCCCTTGATGCCAATCCTCTTCTTCATATTCGTCACCTTTAACACCTTCGTGCTCTTCAACCTCTTGATAACAGTTATCATCTTGTCTTTTGCAAAGGTTAGTTCCTCTCTCTCTCTCTCTCTCTCATGTATATATATATACATACATATATATATAACTGAAAACTCACACCCCAGAACTCACACAATATGCATTTCAGTTGCATATTGTCCTGGGGACCATTCAGGCTTGTTCGCATACATATATATATATATATATATATATATATATATATATATATATATATATATATATATATATATATATATATATATATATATATATATATATATATATATATATATTAGTATATTTTGGTAGCAGTCTTTCCTGTAGACAAATATTATTAAATATGACCGAAAAGTAAGATTAATAATTCTAAGACGAATTTTCTCAATATTTCTTTTGTTTCTTTTCACTGTCGATGGTAATTGAAAAATCAGTTCTCCAAAATTCATTTTTATTTCTAGTCTGACGCGACACTTGAACACATTTCGTAATACCTTATTACATTTTCTCAGACTATAGTTTACACACACACAACTATAACCTGCAAACACTAAACAGATTTCTTATTATGCTATAATTCAAACGGCTTTTCATTTTATATACCTGCATTTGGGTGAGGTGATATGTTACAACAGTTTTGGATGAGGTGAAAACAAACTTTCAACACAAGACAGAACACGAAACAATGGGTATAATATTGGGTAAGTTAAAGGGAAGAATGGAAGTAACTGCAAAGGGCTTATTGGCCCATATTTCTTGAGGGCTTATTGGGCCATATTTCTTGATGCTTCTATATTGGTGCGGAGTCTTAAAATGGGTAGAATATAGTTGTGCATTAATTGGCTGTTGATTGCTGGTGTTGACTTCTTGATGTGTAGTGCCTCGCAGATATCAAGCCGCCTGCTATCGCTGTATCTATCGATGATTTCTGTGTTTCTTGTTAAGACTTCTCTGGTGATGGTCTGGTTGTGGGAAGAGATTATATGTTCCTTAATGGAGCCCTGTTGCTTATGCATCGTTAATCGCCTGGAAAGAGATGTTGTCTTGCCTATATACTGAGTTCTTTGGGGCTTACAGTCCCCAAGTGGGCATTTGAAGGCATAGACGACATTGGTCTCTTTCAAAGCGTTCTGCTTTGTGACTGGAGAGTTTCTCATGAGTAGGTTGGCAGTTTTCTTGGTTTTATAGTAAATCGTCAATTGTATCTTCTGATTTTTGTCTGTAGGGATAACGTTTCTATTAACAATGTCTTTCAGGACCCTTTCCTCCGTTTTATGAGCTGTGGAAAAGAAGTTCCTGTAAAAAAGTCTAATAGGGGGTACAGGTGTTGTGTTAGTTGTCTCTTCAGAGGTTGCATGGCGTTTCACCTTCCTTCTTATGATGTCTTCAACGAAACCATTGGAGAAGCCATTGTTGACTAGGACCTGCCTTACCCTACAGAGGTTACAGTTGTGTGTGTGTAAACTAAAGTCTTTGAAAATGTAATAAGTTATTACGAAACGCGTTCAAGTGTCACGTCAGACTAGAAATAAAAATGAATTTTGGAGAACTGATTTTTCAATTACCATCGACAGTGAAAAGAAACATAAGAAATATTGAGAAAATTCGTGTTAGAATTATTAATCTTACTTTTTCGGTCATATTGAATAATATATATATAAGCACCTCCAAAGGATACCTGATCAACCAGGCCGTGACTCATACAACAGGCTGTGAGCAGTCGCATCCAACAGCCTGGTTGATCAGTCCAGCAACCAGGAGGCCTGGTCGACGACCGGGCCGCGGGGACGCTAAGCCCCAGAAGCACCTCAAGGTATCATCAAGGTATGGTATTTTATCAAATCACCTCATTCTTTGGGGCAAACGTGGGGAACACAAATGCGAACAAGCCTGAATGGTCCCCAGGACTATATGCAACTGAAAACTCACACCCCAGAAGTGACTCGAACCCATACTGCCAGGAGCACTCTGCAGGCGTATCACCTCATTCTTGTCAGGCCGTGTTAGTCGAGCGGTTAAGGGATCCTGTATGCCAGGAAGCAGCCACCTTGCTGAAACCTCATCAGCTCGGGTTTGGGATTCCCCTAGGTTGTGAAGCTGCAGCACATGCAGCGCGGGCTTACATTGCTGATCTCCCGGACCAGAAGGCACTAGTAAAGCTTGACTTCAAAAATGCTTTCAATCAAGTCAGACGAGACGCTGTCCTCAGGGCTGTACACAACCATTTCCGTCCCCTTTACCCATTCATCCGATCATGCTACAGTGGGGACTCTAAGCTTCTTTTTGGGGAACATGAAATAAACTCCTGTGAATGTGTCCAACAAGGTGACCCCTTAGCCCCCCTCATTTTCTGCCTAGCTATCAAAGAGGTCACTGATAGTCAGTCTGACAAGCGAGCTAAACATCTGGTACCTGGATGATGGCACTCTCGCTGGAACCCCGGAAACCATTTTGGAGGATATAAGGAAAATCCAGGAGCAGGGAGCAGCCTTAGGCCTCATTCTCAATACATCCAAATGTGAAATAATCTCCCGCAACCCAGACATCACTGGGCAAATACAAAATGTTCCTCCAGACATTCTCGTTGTCGAGCCACCGGACTGCACTCTCCTGGGTGCCCCCATTGGCCCACGAGCAATCGAGGAGGTCCTGGCTGCAAAAATCACTGATCTAAAGAGAATCCTGGACAGGATTGACAAGATTGATGCCCATGATGCTCTCTTTTTCCTCACAAGATGCCTGTCTCTCCCTAAGTTGACCTACTTTCTGAGATGTTCTCTATCCTACAGCAGCCCTAAGTTAAATGTGTATGACACCCTTCTGAGGTCCATGCTGGTGAAAGTCCTGAACCTGCCATTGGACGACTCTCAGTGGGAGCAAGCAACCCTTCCTGTAAGACCCAGCTGCCTTGGTGTCCGCACAGCCTCCCAAATTGCTCTACCAGCCTTCCTTTCCTCCTCCCACGCATCGCACGGCCTCGTCAGAGATATCTTACCTGCAACCCTGAGAGATTCAGCAGGAATACACGATCCTGCTTTCACTGAATGTTCAAATCAGTGGATGTTCTTACAGCCCCAGCAACCATTATAGAGCCAACAAAACAACACAAACAGTCCGGCTGGGACCACCCTCTAGTGGAAAAAGTAGCTGATGCCATGCTCATCGTCGCAACATCAGACAAGGAGAAAGCCCGCCTCAGAGCAGTGCGTGCCCCCCATGCAGGAGACTTCCTCCTGGCAGTACCCATGTCAACAATGAGCACGCACCTAGAACCAGAAACCCTTCGTGTAGCAGTGGCCCTCCGCCTTGGTGCCCCAATTCACACTGAATACAAGTGTATTTGCAACAGGGTGGAAGCAGACCAATACGGACTGCATGGGTTGCATTGCGGAAGCACAAAGGGCTGGCATGCAAGACACAACGAGGTCAATGACATCATCAAGAGAAGCCTCGTCTCAGCTAGGTGCCCAGCGGAGAGAGAACCTCGCATCCTAGGTCCAAAACCCGGATTTCCCCGCACTTCGCCCTGATGGTATCATCATATACTCATGGAAGGAGGGTAGACAGTTAGTGTGGGACTACACATGTGTATCCACCCTGGCTGACACCTATGTACATTTCTAAGCTGATCAAGCAGGTGGGGCGGCCAACCACAGGGAAACAGCAAAATCACTCAAGTACAGACGACTGGAAGGTCAATACCTCTTTGTTCCCATAGCGTCTGAGACGCATGGCCCATGGGGCAAGAGTGCCTTGGGATTTCTCAAGGAACTGGGTTCCAAGCTCATTGGCGTCACCAGAGACCCAAGGGCTTCCAGTTTTTTGTTTCAGCGCCTCACTGTGGCGATCCAGAGGGGAAATGCTTGCTGTGTCCTCGGTTCCTGTCCGGAAGCGGAGGAGTTTCAAGAGATCCATAACCTTTAGGCATTTGTCTTGTATGTTTTGTAACCTTTAAATACACAATTAAGAAAAAAAAAAAAAAAAAAGGGTGGTACGAGAAAAGCACACAGAAACTGTATTGAAGGGGACCTACATTCCCTCCAATGCGTTATGTGGGGTTTTCTCCGAGGCTATGGGTCCCCCTTCTTCCAGCCAGAGGTGGTACTCCCTTCCTATATATTATATATGTTGTATCTAGTAGCCAGAACGTCGAACTCGGCGTACCATGCAAGGCTCGATTTGCCTAATAAGTCAAGTTTTCCTGAATTTATATATTTTTCAATATTTTTTTCTGGCTACTAGGTGCGACATATATATATATATATATATATATATATATATATATATTATTAAATATGACCGAAAAAGTAAGATTAATAATTCTAACACGAATTTTCTCAATCTTTCGTACATTACGCTTCACTGTTGGAGGTAAATCAAAAATCACTTCTCCAAAATTCATTTTTATTTCTAGTCTGACGCGACACGGGCGCGTTTCGTAAAACTTATTACATTTTCAAAGACTTCACAAATACACAACTGATTAGAACTTACGTCTCTCTGATATTATATCTACATTTGAGTGAGGTGGGAAGGATGATGTGGCATTAACACAAGACAGAACAGGGGATATTAATAGGGTATTAAAAGTATCAACACAAGACAGAACAGAAAACAATGGGTATTGAATAGAAGTGTTTGTAGAAAGCCTATTGGTCCATATTTCTTGATGCTTCTATATTGGAGCGGAGTCTTGAGGTGGGTAGAATATAGTTGTGCAATAATTGGCTGTTGATTGCTGGTGTTGACTTCTTGATGTGTAGTGCCTCGCAAACGTCAAGCCGCCTGCTATCGCTGTATCTATCGATGATTTCTGTGTTGTTTACTAGGATTTCTCTGGCGATGGTTTGGTTATGGGAAGAGATTATATGTTCCTTAATGGAGCCCTGTTGCTTATGCATCGTTAAACGCCTAGAAAGAGATGTTGTTGTCTTGCCTATATACTGGGTTTTTTGGAGCTTACAGTCCCCAAGTGGGCATTTGAAGGCATAGACGACGTTAGTCTCTTTTAAAGCGTTCTGTTTTGTGTCTGGAGAGTTTCTCATGAG